CATTTAGTATTAACAATAATTGTAAAGGTTAATCAAGTCAAAATCAAAAGCTAACAACAAATCAAGGATCTCACTTTATTAGAGCTTTACACTTGTTCACCTTCAGTTAACCGCAAATGTCCGAGAATCGAATTCATTTCTCAATTATTACCTCATTATCACCAGGACGACCAATGGCTTTTGACATTAGCAAAAAGACTGCTGGTTCTCGATTCATTGAATCAGCTCATCCTCTTGGTGGCTATTCGATCAAAGGAGGTTTTATGTCTTCCTCTTTTTCCTTGACCAAATAACATTCCTTGCCACCCTCTTCATCAGCTTCAGCTTCATCTTTGGCAACTAAAACCTAAACTCCTTCAAAACCATCTTCTTTCATGGCTAAATATTTCCGCATTAAGTATTGCTTCTCGATCAACGTTATACCCTTCCAATGTTGGCCTGAATTGTAAGTGATATCCATCGTACCTTAACTCACTGAGGTTCCAAAGATATTGAACTTGAGGTGAATAATATCTGCCTAATAAATCACCATTTACCTACTAATTCAGAGCATTTCGATTCACAATATATAATATATCTATTTCAAGTAAAACCAATCAAACAAGAATATATCGTCAAATAGGAATTCTTAAAACATAAATTTACATGTTCGTATTCATAACTTTTGGGTGTAAAATATATCAGTGAATCCATCAGTACCATTTCGCCAGAGTTTACCAATTCAATTACGTTCTCGTTTTATAACAATAAATTTTTGGCTAAGCAACTGCATTTCATTGTAATCATCGTATTTTAAATTTTTATGCAATTATACTTTAATACAAATTTTCGTTTTAAATTCTCTATAACTATCTAATTTTCTCATTAACTAATTACACAAATCTAGTAGCAATCGCTATGATTTTGTTCAATCCATATGTTTCTTTCCTGATTAAATTTGGAATTGGAACTAAAATTCGTGTACCCAAAGGATTTCCTTTATCGTCCATTAGAACCATGTTATTCGAGTCAAAACGAGGCACAAATGGCTTCTGAAGTCGCACCAAGCCAACAACTACTCCTTTCTTTTTTTGTCCTTTTATTGCCACAATTACCTTAGTGCCTAATTCAGCTATTCTGGGTTTTCTATAGATACCAATAATTTTTGGTGGTTTCCCATCAAGCATAGCTTGTTTCCCGAGCGCACTGTTATCAACAACTCGCATAAATGTACCAATTCGTGCTTGGTTCAAGATTTGAGAAGTACTGTTAAATTAAAAAAACATTGTGAGCTGAAGAATTTCTAAATATATATTGTAATTTTGTAAACTTGACACTTACTTAAAGTTTCGAGCATAATTTACCAACAAGGATATTTGATTCAATAGCCGAGAGTTTCCTGGAAATGACTGATGAAAATAGACAAAGATTGATTCGTTAAATAAGAGATGAAATTTGGAGTTTAAATGATCAAAATTAACTTACCATAGTTCTCCAATTATTTAGAAATATAACAACAACAAAAACCTACACCATGAAGTTGATTACAATGAAAAAATGTTTTACAAATGAATGTTTCAGCTGATTTGAATGAATGCTCCACCTATTGATAGTTTGAAGAGCGAAAACTCGATTCTTATAATTCTCATGCAGTTTTTTATTCTTATTCAGTTTCGAGCTATACTCAAATTAAACTGCAAATAGATCATCATTTTAAAGTCAATTTAAGTAATTTGCCAGAGTTTGATTTAATAAAAATCAACAATTTAATTTATTTTGAAAATTGCGCATATTTTCAATGATGTTTAGTAGAGTCCTCTATCGTTTAATAAATGAACAACTTTTAATAACAAATTATTTCACAAGTCTTCAGTGACCTTTGTGTTTGTTTATTGTTTTATTTCTTTAAATATTTTTATTGAGTGAATTTGATTCAGTTTAAATTTAAAATGAGATTGTCTCTCATTCGTAGATGTAGACGGTTTGATCCGTCAAAAATGTTTGATGAATCGCCTGAGGAATTGGATAAAATGCGAAGACGATATGAGTTGAGACAAAAGCTTAAAACTGAATTTAATCGATTCTACTACAATCCTTATAATTCAGCATATGGTGTTGCTTACGTAAGTAAACTCTAATCAAGCATAATTTAAGTTAGTAAATTGATAATTTTTTGTTCATGCATTCATTAGGTGGATCCACAATTTGAGAGATATTACGCTGCCAGATTTTACAGACTTGATTACTGGAAGCCTACTTTTGGTTCATTCATTCAATTTGTTGCTACAATCTTCATACCATTTATTATTCTTACTAGATTTTACCAGAATGAAGAAGTAAGTCAATTTTTATAATTAATTGATCAAGATGTTTTTTGGCAATTATTGACTCCTCTTTTTTATTTTACAGGATATCTATTGGGAGAAAACGCAAAGTGGTGAATTGACTTATAAAAATAGGAAGCTTTACTGTTTCTTATATTAAACAAGTTGTACGAGTTATTATATATTTAGTATGAGTAGTGTAAAATATTGATTTAAACTCTAGTTTAAAGCTTAAAAATAAATTTTTGGTAATCACTTTCGTTTTATTTTTATCATTGTTGTCATAATTTCTGGTTCTTTCTGTGTTTCTGTGTTTGAACTTTTGCTATGCGAAAAATATTCAATAATCAATCAATTTTCAATAGGAAGAATAACATCTTCTAAATCTTTCATACAGAGCTGCATTCCAAAACGAACAAGTTGCAATACACAACATACATTTGCTTAGCTAAATGCCTAATCATCCATTGTCTTATAAACCATGTACTTTATTAACTCATTTTCTTACCAGCAGTGAATTATTGGGCATATAAATTCGGACAGCAATCCGCTTTAGAGTTACTTTCAATATCTTTCTCTTTTAAGTTATTTTCTGTGTTTGGGGCTGATATTAAATTTAATAGGCCGTGTCGATTGTCGCACACTTTTGACTGAATTACTTTTGCGCTTGTGACTATAGTATTATATTGCTTTTTGAATTGTTCAATCAATTTGGATTTAATTCGTTCTCGTTCTGTTTGCCCTTCACAAGTTTCGTTAATTTTTATCGTTAATGATGAAGATTAACTTAATGATGACGATGGATCGAAAGTTGAACACTTTTTAACATCCACAATCAATGGCAATTTGGTTGAATTGATTTCAGGTAATTTTTTACATCTTTTCAAAGCCAAAGATTTCATTTTACTCTGATAATCTCATTGATGCTCTTAACAACATTACACAAGCCATTGGATTAGTATTGAGCTGTAGCTGGAGTAGGACGCATTTTGGGATGTTTGTTACACGAAATGGAAGACAGAAGTAAACTTGCTTCAGAAATGGTTAGGAATCAACAAAAGAATTAACTTGAACACCAAGAAAGTTGGTTAAATTGATTGTGATTCTCTTTTATCCAGTCTTTTATTTTTTCAAATCATCTATTAATGTTCTTCACTTTTCCTTTTCACTCTCTTAACCATTGCAAATGCAGCTGATTGGTAAAAGGGAAGAAAAGCTCGAGATATTTTGCTCTTCCAGTCCATTAATTCGATAAATAG